CCTCACTGTCGCTGTCTGTTAATATTTCGCTGTTTATTTCTGTTCATTACTACTTCAAACGTAGTTTGAAGTAGTAATGAACAGAATCATCATCATCTTGTCTGTCCTCCTCACTACCACTTAGGCATACCGCCTCAGCCATTTCCTCGACACTCAAAGGCACTGTCAACAATCGAGAACAAATTCACAATATCCTGTATCACCACATGCAAAAACGAAGAGTGTGGGGCAATACTCCACAGTTTTAGCAGCGTTGATTACAAGACCAAGGCTCTCACAAGCTGTATGTATACAATTTAAGACTTTGCATTTCGCGGTGGGTTTTAGTATGCACAAGGATGTTATCGGCATAGCTGATAATGATGTTTGCCGGACTAGTTGGGATTGATTTTAGTAAAGCATTAATTAGAACATTAAAACAAGGTAGGACTAAGTACTCCTCCTTGTGGGGTGCCTAGTTGCATTACTTTAGTTTCACTCTTGTAGCCTTGGAACAGTGCAGAGGACTTCTGGTTGGTAAGATATCCTCGTATCCATTGTAATAAATGTCCCCCTATATCAATTCTCGCTAATTCATACATAATCACTTCCCTATCAGCAATATCAAAGGCATTTTTTAAATCAATAAATGTTGTGTACTTGTGCCTTTTATCTCCATGAACAGTAAGAAAGGTTGTGATACAGTTGTGTACACTTTTACTATGTGTGAAACCATTGATATCAGGTGACGACGTTTCGGTCCGTCCTGGACTATTCTCGTCACAAACTGCCACTGCACGGAATACTAGCACAACAGAAACATAGTAGCAGTTTTTCACATTATATAATGTCTTTCAACGATGAAGGACACTTTAAAAATACAATATTTGAACACAATTAGTGATAAATTCACACGAAATAGTGCAACAGGGTAGACACCTGATATTTTTATAATATATATATATATGTTCTTAACAGCATATATGCAATTTCTGAATTGATAAATAATGAAAGTAAAATAATTTAAAGCTTTTAACTTTAATATACATAATAAAATTGTTGGTATAAATTTCTTGTTTTTTTATACAAGAATTTGTCGTATATTAGACTAACTTATATCACTTACATAAAATTAATATATTTTTAACTCACTATACCCATTAAAGCAACTGTTTTCTATTGGCAATCAGACGCTGCTGTAGGGATAACTTGCAAATTCTCATTATTGGTGAGAGCGAATTTACCCGAGGGCAAATAAAATAAGTTATTTATATATTCAAGAGTTCTTACATTCTTGTACAGCCACTAGCACGCATAGCGTTTCGGGTAAGTCCTTAATCCTATGTTCCCGGAATACGACCCGCCAAATCGGTTAACAACCAAGTACCCATTTTATTGTTGGTTTAACAAAGAATACATTTAAGGATTGATGCCCAGTAAATCCTCCCCAACCCACAAACCCAGGACAAAGTGATCGCGAAACGCCAATTCATTTACTTTCTTTATTATACTCCCCATGTCTATCCCGTGAGCGGTGGTGGAAAGAGTTACAGAGACACTTAATGGGTTCAGTTAGTTTCTTAGTTTAGTTTATTTATTATGCACCCCATACCCATCTTGTGGGCGGTAGTAGAAAGGGTTACAGAGGCACATAATGGGCTCAGGGACCGAACCCCACAATTCATTTAGCTAAGCAAGTTACAATCTTCATGAGCTAATTACAAAATTCAGTATAAGTCGTCACATCATCAATGGGTTCGAGATCGACCGTACAAGTCCTGCACACCGCCTCCCATCCAATGGGCAGCGGTGGATAGGTTATAATCACTTAGTTACTACCTACAGTTTGCAAACTGAGAATATTTGGCTAAAATTTCTGGTAGCAGGTTATTTTGAATGAAATATTTACACATTGCTGGAACATTGGTTATAGAATAATGGGTTCAGGAACTGAACCCCATAGTTCGTTTAGGTAAGCAAGTGACTCATTTGAAGCTAGTTACACATTTGTTAATGTTATGTATATGTACACACACACACTGTGTGTGTGTGAAAAGTTTTGTGAAATATATGATAAAGGCACAAAAAAATTTTATACCAAAACAGAGATGCAGAACTAGGAAACAGGATTGGTTCAACAGAAATTGCGAGAGGGCTAGAGACCAAAAGACACAAAAATGGAATCAATACAGAAGAGGCCAAACCTCCAAACATACCAGTGATACAAAGATGCGAGAAACAACTACACGGCAGTGAGGAGAGAGGCAGAAAGACATTTTGAAAAAGGGATTGCAGACAAATGTAAAACAGAACCAGGTCTATTCTATAAATTCATAGACAACAAATTGCAGGTAAAGGATAATATTCAGAGGTTGAAAATGGGAAATAGATTCACGGAAAAGGAAATGTGTGAAACATTAAACGAAAAGTTCCAAAGTGTGTTTGTACAAAATGAAATCTTCAGGGAACCAGACACAATAAGAATTCCAGAGAACAGCATAGAGCACATAGAGGTGTTTAGAGACGAAGTGAAAAAAATGCTAAAGGAGCTCAGTAAGAACAAAGCAGTTGGTCCAGATGGAGTTTCACCATGGGTTCTGAGAGAATGTGCACCTGAGCTCAGCATTCCACTTCAACTGATTTTTCAGGCATCAAATCAGACATCCCTGAAATCAGTCAGGGATTTCAGCTCTGAAATCAAATCAGACAAATCAGGCATCCCTGTTTACAGGAGTTTTAGCTGATGTGTGGAAAAAGGCTAACATAGTTCCAATCTACAAAAGTGGAAGCAGGGAAGACCCCCTTAATTATAGACCGGTATCATTGACAAGTGTAATAGTCAAAATATTGAAAAAAATAATTAAAACTAAATGGGTAGAACACCTGGAGAGAAATGATATAATATCAGACAGACAGTATGGTTTTCGATCTGGAAGATCCTGTGTATCGAATTTACTCAGTTTCTATGATCGAGCAACAGAGATATTGCAGAAAAGAGATGGTTGGGTTGACTGCATCTATCTGGACCTAAAAAAGGCTTTCGACAGAGTTCCACACAAGAGGTTGTTCTGGAAACTGGAAAATATTGGAGGGGTGACAGGTAAGCTTCTAACATGGATGAAAAATTTTCTGATTGATAGAAAAATGAGGGCAGTGATCAGAGGCAATGTATCGGACTGGAGAAATGCCACAAGTGGAATACCACAAGGTTCAGTTCTTGCACCAGTGATGTTTATTGTCTACATAAATGATCTACCAGTTGGTATACAGAATTATATGAACATGTTTGCTGATGATGCTAAGATAATAGGAAGGATAAGAAACTTAGATGATTGTCATGCCCTTCAAGATGACTTGGACAAAATAAGTATATGGAGCACCACTTGGCAAATGGAATTTAATGTTAATAAATGTCATGTTATGGAATGTGGAATAGGAGAACATAGACCCCACACAACCTATATATTATGTGAGAAATCTTTAAAGAATTCTGATAAAGAAAGAGATCTAGGGGTGGTTCTAGATAGAAAACTATCACCTGAGGACCACATAAAGAATATTGTGCGAGGAGCCTATGCCACGTTTTCTAACTTCAGAATTGCTTTTAAATACATGGATGGCGATATACTAAAGAAAGTCGATTTTGTCATTCGACTTGAGAATGGTCCAGGACGGACCGAAACGTCGTCGTCCCTTCACTTTCTAGGTTGTGGTCTGGTCAACATATTTCAGCCACGTTATTGTAACTCATCGTCTGCTTCTTTGTGTCTTTGTTCGGTAAATACCGAATGTAGATTGATTTTGTTGACGTTTTTGTGGCGGACCTCGGCGCCATCTACCATCCAGAAATGAACTATAACAGTTGATCCTCCTATTAATCGTAGTTTCCCATCTTCTATTCGGATAGGCTGGAAGGTGACGACCAACCAGGAACAGGCAATGAAAGTCAGTGAAGCCGGGAGAGTGAAAGAGTGCTTGGGTCGACCTGAAGGTGCTAGCCAAGTGGGATAGTTGAGCACTGTGGACTTTACTCCTGGAGGGGCTACCCAGTGGGGCTAGGTGAGCGCTGTGGACTGCACTCTTGGAAGGTGCTAGCCAGTGGGGCTAGGTGAGCGCTGTGGACATTGCTGGTAGAGCGTACTAGCGAGTGCGCTAAGGAGGGGGAGCGTTTGAAGACGTCTTCATAACAGCAGCTAGTGTAAGAGCTGGTGGCGCGTTGAAAACTTAGTCAGAGGCATAAAGTGTCCGTCATCTGTGAAGCTGGCTAGCGTGAGGGCTAGTGACGCTGCTTTGGATGACATCTGATAGCAACTTGTAAATATTAAAGGTGATGGGTAATTATAACGAGTAATTTTAAGAGTTATTTTACTTATTTATCTTAAACATTACACTATATGCCCACCAGGGTTAGGATCCTCTGAACTTGAGTAGGATCATAGTTTTAAAAAGAACCCGGTTACGAAGGGTTCGTAACATGCAGCTCGTAATGGCTTACAACATTCGTTGGGATGTTCTCCTTTCCAGTTAGTTTTTGGACATCAAGTGAGAGGCCCACTCCAGTTGCTGCAGGAGAGAATGATGGGAAACGTTTCTCAACCTGAGGGAAGTCTGCTGTAGTGACATCCTTTCCAAGCTGAAGAAGTACCAAGCCATGGCATGTGAGCATCTGCAGACGTCGCAGCATAAGATGAAACAACACCTTGATAAGAAATTTCTTGTGCAGTTACGAAGTTTTAAACCAGGTGATCTGGTTCTTGTTTTAAAAACTAGAATGGAAGCTGCTCTAGAGCATCAATTTGATGCTCTAGAGCAGGCTATGCATTTAAAGTTTTGTGCAAACGCTTAGACTTAACTTATAAAATTAAACGTCTGCAGGACCCTTCCAAGATTCTAGTCGTAGACATAAATCGGTTGAAAGCATTTAAAGGCTCATGGCCAGTGTCATGTGTGGCATAGGACACAGTCACCCCTGAGAACCATGTAACTGTAGATTTGTCTAACCTTACCCTTTGTCATTCTAGTTTTGTAGAGATGTTGGGACATTTGGATGAGGAGAAACAGGGAGAGTTGAGCGCCTTATTAGGCAAGTATGAAAATATGTTCGGGGTAGTACTTACCCAAACTCATGTCATTAGCCAATTACGAGCTGCAAATAAAACAAAGGGTAAGTCTTCACCCCTATTTCAGTCGGAGTCTTCGCCAACAGTCCGTAACATCTGCTTCATGGTCTGATGAAATCTCTCGAGAACACTTTGGCTCTGTGGGTGATATGTACCGGATAATTTATGTTCGATGTGGTACTTCCCACAAAATCGTCGGAACTCTGCCGAACGAAAATTACTTCCGTTGTCGGAGAGTATCACACGAGGGAGTCTGAACAAGGTAAAAAAGTGACTAGGTGATGGATGACTCTCTTAGCTCTGATATTACGTGCAGGTTAAGCTTGATCGAATCTGGTTGTAGCACGCATGAGGGTTATTATGTAGACATGACCTGACTGGGTCCGACTTAAGGGTCCTACACAATGTAGCACGATGTGGGAGAAAGGTTCACGAGGAACGACAATTGGAAGTATGGGAGTTTTTGGAACAACTTGGTTGAGCTTTCAAACCACTTGACAGGTTTCACACTGTCTACAATATCTGGCAATGTCCTTCTTAAGACTGGGCCAGTAAAAGAATTTGGATACCTGGTACAACATGCGACTGATCCCTTGGTGACCACTTAAGGCATTGTCATGAGCGGCTGTGAGGACTTGTTCTCGGTATTCTTTCAGAATTACGAGCTGGGTAACCTTCACACAGTCGTCTGAAGAGACATCTTAGATTTCCGACGTCTTAGCAACATCTGATTACGGAGGAAATATCCAAAATGTGCATGATTGACAGATGATTTGTGACCCGTCTTTCCTAGACGGTAAACTTAAATACCTACACAAGTTTTTGGGATTTAGGTTGTCCCCTCGTTGTTCATTGAAAAAGCACACAGTAAAGCTGAAGGCGTCCTTTACACTAAAACTGAGAGACGCTCTTGGAATCCTGATAAGAAAAAAGTTTTGAAATTGCCTTATAACCCTCTTTTAAGTAAACAGACCCATAACGTAGCGGATTCAAAACATACAATCGCTTTCAATTACCCAAATACAATTAGGGAAAGGGTTAATATGAATCGAGTAAGTGAGGATAGAAATCCGAGAGGCGTTTATATACTTCCTTGTAGAGATTGCAATGAAGTCAATGTAATAATAATTTTATTTGCAAGAAGATACAATGGGCTGATGAGATTACCTTTTGATTGGTATTTTTACATTCATACAAAGCCACTAACACTCAAAGCATTTCGAGGAGGTCCTTAATCTAACATATCAGGTAAGATGAAAAGGTATATTGTAGCAAGGTTTTTATATCAGCAAATAACTACAATATAAGTTGATAGAGGTGATTACACTGGTGAAGATATGTCTTAAGTACTAATATTGGGGAAGTGGGTAGTACAAGATACAGTGTGAGTCTGAAGCACAAAGTAGGAAACTATGAAGAAACTATTTCCCACTCAAGAGAGTACGAAAGACTTTGTGTAAATTCCTTACACAAATTTCACAAACACGCAAGTGTGAGCTTTTATTCTATGTTATTATGTCTGTGAGAAGACTTTACCATTACTGATTGTTGTTATTATTACAAGAGGTGTCAACAGAGGGTTCTGGATTATTTTGCTTTTCTATTTTTATCATTTAGTGTTGAGAGGTAAGGGAACCTCATCACACCCCTATGAGTTTTAGTTTAGTTCATTTATTATGCACCCCATACCCATCTTGTTGGCGGTAGTGGAAATGGTTATAGTGACACATAATGGGCTCAATGACTGAACCCCTCAATTCATGTAGCTAAGCAAGTTACAAAATTTAATGCACGTCGATGAGCAACAATGGGCCGACCCCAATTATAGTTTTTAAATTAAGCAACTGACATACGTGGAGAGTTAGTGTCACAATTGATATGTTTGTCCTGCACACCGCCCCCCATCCAATGGGCAGCGGTGGATAGGTTACGATCACTTAGTTACTACCTACAGTTAGCAAACTGGGAATATTTGGCTAAGATTTCTAGTAGCATGCCATGTTGAATGAAATATTTCCACATCTCTTGATCATTTGGTATAGAATTGTCTCTGAATTCATGTATTTTTTCGCACTCCTTCACAGTCGGTTCACACGCCTAAGATGCATGCATCCATTTGGTGCCCGGGTCAGCATTCCAATAGCACTGCGTTTTTGGTCGACCCCGGCACAACAGTACCCCACTAGTTTCTTTAGTTTGATATAATTCGAGTTTGGTGTACACTACGTTAAGATTGGTGAAAGCGTTTTTGGCGACGTCCGCCGCTCGGATGAGCAGAGTCAAGCTGTAAATGATGCGTAACAGATTCATCGAATTAAGGGAGACAATATCTTGAGGTTATCTTGAGATGATTTCGGGACTTTTTTTTTTTAGTGTCCCCGCGGCCCGGTCCTCGACCAGGCCTCCACCCCCAGGAAGCAGCCCGTGACAGCTGACTAACACCCAGGTACCTATTTTACTGCTAGGTAACAGGGGCATAGGGTGAAAGAAACTCTGACCATTGTTTCTCGCCGGCGCCTGGGATCGAACCCGGGACCACAAGTCCAGCGTGCTGTCCGCTCGGCTCCCTATCATTTAACTATGCTATCATTTAACCACTGTACGAAATAAACAAGGCATAAAATTGATATTAATACTTATAAATTGTAAATAATGTCCTTCAACGATGAAAGACACTTTAAAAATATGTAATTAGTCTAAATTAAATTAAATTGCATAGGTGATTTGCTAAACAGGAAAGACACCTGATATTTTTATAATATATATATGTTCTTAACAACTTGTATGCAATTTCTGAACTGTTAAAAAATAAAAATAAATAAAATTTCAACTTAATTTTCATATATTTAATAAAGTTCTTGAAATACATTTACTTGTATTTATACTTTTTTTCTCGTATTTATGAGTAAAATATACATTACGTATATAAAATTAAATAGTTTAACACACTATTCACATTATTACCACTATTTTCTATTGTCAATCAGACGCTTCTTAAGGGGTAACCTGCGAATTCTCATTATTGGTGCGAGCGCGTTTACCGAAGAGCCACTAACACTAATAGCCTCGACGAGGACAGGAAGCCGGCAACTTGTCAAAGGTTGCCGGCTTCCTTTTGCCTTGATGATCTTATTCAGCTGTACTTTAAAGGTTAACAGTTTTTTGTCATTAACGCCTGCGGCGGGTAGGCCGTTCCAAGGGTTAATATACCCTCTGGGTGAGAAAGCATCTCCCGTTCTCAGTCCTACATTGTGGTTTGTTGAGCTTGAAATCTGTGCTCCTTGTTTGTGTTACACCTGACCTTTACAAAAAATCCGGATCAACATCCTCCTAAATTTAAATTTTGCCCCGAGGGGAGAGTTTATTGGGCAGCGCCACTCATTCTGTGAGTGGTCATACCGCCATAGCAGCATGTACAGCACTCCTCAATAAGAAGAAAACCCGCTGGGTTGCACGGGAGACATCTCCCGTCACGCAGGGTGCAGTCGCACCTCCACAGATATCCAATATCATCTATTGATACTGGTAGTGGCTCAAAAGGGCCTCCACTTACGGGCTATTCATGCCCGTGCTACCTTTTGGGTGGCTTAATCTTCATCAATCAATCAATCAATCGCTGGGTTGTTTATTCTGTCACATGCACCCAGACACAGCTGGGACTTGCTTAACTGTCTCAAATGAACAGCTCCTCAAACAAAAAGATTAATATCGGTCAATTCTTAAAATCTTACGTTATCTTGCGGGTGCAAAATGGGGGAATCTTTTAAGAACAGTATCAATACTTGACAAATAGTTTTTTCCTAACTCAAACAATGTGAGGTTTATTATTCTACACATATTTCTAATGTCCCTCAGTAGTTCACATTCACGTAGATAGTGGTCAATACTGTGTCCGTCACTCTCATCACAGATTCTGCAACTCCGCTGATCAACTGTTGTTTTCAATCCTAATCTCCATGGATATTTGTATCCAAGACGGATTCTCGCTATTACTGATTCTCTCCCTCGTCCTCCTCCTCTTCGTCCCAATCCCTCTAATTGGGATTGCCAGCTACAACCATGTTGTACCATCGTACAGATTCACTAGTTTGTGCTTCTATCCTCCTTTCCTCAGTTACCTTGTCACGGTGATGTTGCCTGACAATACCTCTAATTTGTAGTAGAGTCTTGGGTATGAAGTATTCAATACGGTCTCCTTCAGCAGCCAGCACATCTGCTCGTTCATATCCACCTATTCCAACATGGGAGGGGATCCACAGAAACTTGACGACTCTTCCCTGGTTGGTTACAGCTCTATTAATTTCAACGACTATCGCAAGATTTTCTGCCCGATTTTTACTTAGGCTTTGCAGTGCTGCTTTTGAATCAGTGCAGATCATTGCACCATTAGTGTTTCGTTCAAGGAATCTTAACGCCATAACAATGGCAATTAGCTCTGCTTGCGTTGAAGAGGCATAATTCTCTATACACTCTTTCTTCATTTCTGCGTTGAAAAGCATTATCCTTAATTACAGTGTATGCTGCACCAGCCCTGCCATTAACAAGATGAGATGACCCATCAGTGTAGATTTGATTTAGTTCATTTCCGGCTTCTTTATAAATGTCCTCGAGATACTTACATAATCCTGCACGAGTCATCCTCCCAGGGGGGTAATCTCTCTACAGGCATAAACTCACGGGCTTACTCATGCAGGTGAAGTTCTTCGAGGTAGCAGACTGATCTGTGATGTCATTATTTGCTTCTCCTGTTTCCTCCTGTTATGAGCACAAAACTCAGTTTTTTCTTGGCAATATCATAGTAATAGGGATCTCTGGCTATCCCAATTGCAAGCTTAGCATTCAGTTCCTCAATTCTGCTTTTTACACTGGGGAGGGACAGCTCCTCTCGTAGATTAGACGTTTTGGCAGTTCTTGGTACTCCAGGAATGATTGTCATGGCTTCATTTTATATGTTTTCGAGCCTTTTCATATCGCTTTGGGAGTAGATGCACAAAACTGGTGCGGCATAGTCTATAACGGAGCGCACATAGGCTGTATACATCATTTTAAGCACGACAATAGAGGCTCCATGTTCATTCCAGGTCATAGCTTTCAGTGCCCTAAGACGACTTTTGCATGTTCCTATGAGTTGGTTGAGCTCCTCTTGCTTCCCCTTGTTAGAGCCGAATCGATCAATGACGCCAAGGTACCGATAGTGGTCAACCCATTTAAGTGTTACACCATTAATTTGTAGTTCTTCATTTGCTCTCCGCTTGTGATGGGAGTATGCCTTCGTCTTGTTTGTGGAGAGAGTGAAACCGAGCTCAATACATTTCCTTCCAAGGGGTTCAATGGACTGATTAATTTTTCCCAAGGTTGGGGTTTGTATTAAGACATCATCTGCATATCCCACTTATTGCGTCCCTTCTGGAAAATCAATATTTGCAATGGCATTCATAAGTACATTGAATAGTGTGGGCTTAAGACTCCGCCTTGGGGGGTACCGAGTTCCATATTAATTTTACTAGAGACTGCTCCATTGAAGCAGACTTTGGCTTTCTTGCCTGTGAGGTAGTCTTCAGCTCATTTCATGAGTCTCCCCTTGACACCCATGCATGCATGCAAGCTC